TGATGAGACAAGTGCATGGGCACAGGGCTGGGGACAACATGGGCTGTGCCCCAGCTGGGGTCTGGCACAGTATCTGGGGCCCTGTGCAGTGTATACAATGGGGATACCTGCTGTGCCCTCATCTGGGCTGACACAGTATCCAGGGCAACATGCAGTGTCTACAGTGGGGATACCCGCTGTGCCCTAGTGTGGATCTGATGCAATATCCAGGGCCCTGTGCATATTGAGAGTGTGGGAACATGGCGCTGTGCCCGGGGTACTGTGTATAGTAGCACTGTGCTCCCATTGTTCATCGATTTGCTCCAGAGGACCCAGTAACGTCTCCATTGTGAGGCTTGTTGTCACTGTGTTTGGCATATCGAATACACCATGGGGAGCTTGCCAGGCTTTGCTGTACGGGCGAGATACTCTCAGTAGCTTGCCGGGCTCTCCGAGAGGGATGGAGGGATAGAACCCGGCTTGGTCGGGCTGGCTGTGTGCAAGGCAAACGCCCTACCGCTGTGCTATTGCTCCGGCACTGTGTATAGTACTATGGGATACTTTCTCCTCCATCCCCACCCCTGAAATGAAGTTCTGGGTCTCTCAGGGACCTCTGTGTTCCTGTTGTCTCCACTGTTTTCAACCTGCCCTGGCCTTCTCCCTCCGCTGGCTCCTTGGAGGCACCCTCCTCCAGGAAGCCTTCCCTGATACTTTACTAAAATCCTTACACCCATATTTGCCTGGTACCCTCTGTGGCCCCCCCCTGGTCCTCCAATCTGCTCCGGGGTTCCCTAGTGGCAAGGCTAAGGCTTCCCTGCTCTCTGGGCCTGGCACATAGTACATGCTCAATAAAGCCCCATCTGACAGTTATCCAGACAGTCCCTGGTCCCTGAGTCCCCCTGGCCTGAGAACCCGAGACAAAGAGGGGACTGGACCCACCAGACTCTTGAAGAAGCCCCCGAGGGGCTGCCGCCACTTCTCGGGCCTCCGCGGGGAGTCGTGCCCGCCCCCGTTCTGCAGGGCATTGGCCGCTGCCCCTGCAGGCTCCGGAGTTGGGGCTCGGGCCTCCTGCTTGTTCCCCTTGGGCTTGTTTGTCTCTGCGGCGGCGGGGGCGGTGGCGGCGGTAGGGGTCTTCTTGTCCTTGGAGGGTCCCTCCTTGCCCTTCGGGGTTGCCGCTGCGGGCTCAGAGGGGCCTGGCGGCATGACCACCTTCTCCGCGGAGATGGACGTCTGAGGGTGCAAACAAGGAGCACTGTTAGTGGCTGTAGACGAGCCTGAGCGACCCGGGAGCAGACCCGGGAGATATCTGCGTCCAGGGGGAGATATCTGAGTGGGATGATGTGGAGAAGGAATAAGAAGGTGTGCACAGAGTGCGGAGGTTGTTGCATTTCCCGGGGGAGCAATGAAGCCCTTCTAGAAGAGGTCACTAATATGTTGTTAAAGGTTGAGCCCTGTGTGATATATGTGTGTATACACACACACACACACACACATACTTTTTCCTCTAAGGATACTTTATTTTTTCCTTTTGGGTCACACCCGGCGATGCACAGGGGTCACTCCTGGCTCATGCACTCAGGAATTACCCCTGGTGTTGCCCGGGGGACCATATGGGATGCTGGGAATCGAACCCGGGTCAGCTGTGTGCAAGGCAAATGCCTTACCCGCTGTGCTATCACTCCAGCCCCAAGGATACTTTTTTTTTTTTGGTAGCATTTTCAGCGGGTCTTCCATAACAAACTGTACAAAACATATTATTTCGGTTCTGCTTTGGGGCAGGGATTGGGGTTTGGGATGGAAACCTTCGAAATATGGTGGTGGGAAGGTGTCAGGGTGGTGGGATTGGGGTTGGAATATTAAACGTCATCAAATATTGTGAACTGTCTTTATAAATAAAAAAAAATTAGGGGCTGGAGAGATAGCACAGCGGGTAGGGCGTTTGCCTTGCACACGGCTGACCCAGGTTCGAGTCCCAGCTTCCCATATGGTCCCCTGAGCACCGCCAGGAGTAACTCCTGAGTGCAGAGCCAGGAGGAACCCCTGTGCATTGCCAGGTGTGACCCAAAAAGCAAAAAAAAAATTAAAAAAATTTAAAAAAGAAGGTGTGTAAAGATTGACTCAGGTCTGAGCCCTCAGGAGGGCGTGTATTTCACCGTTTGGTACTGACTTTTCTATTCTTCCAGCATCACCATGGCTAGAATTAGGGTTGTCCTTGGAGAGCCCTTTCTTGGCCATTGGTTTTAGACCTATGAAATCCCAGCCCTGGGCGAGGACATGATACTCAGGTGTGGCCAAGCAGAGCATTGCCTGGGACTGAGCACTGTAATGAGCTCAGGATGCCCACATATGAAAAAAAAAACTCATCTAAGAGTGATAGCACAGTGGTAGGGCGTTTGCCTTGCGCGCAGTCAGCCCAGCTGAGTTGGGTTCAATTCCTCTGCCCCTCTCGGAGAGCACGGCAAGCTACTGAGAGTATCTTGCCCGCACGGCAAAGCCTGGCAAGCTATCTGTGACGTATTGGATATGCCAAACACAGTAACAACAAGTCTCACGATGGAGACGTTACTGGGCCCGCTCGAGCAAAATCGATGAACAACGGGAGGACAGTGACCCCAAAGCATGAGCTGCCTGGTTCTGTAGGAAGCAGTCACACCTGTTACAAATCCTGTCACATCTAAGAACTTGGCAGAATAAAACCCAGAGAGGGGGGGGTCTGTGGCAGTTAAGGCTACACACATCAAAGCCTGGTGGAACTAAGGGGGAAAAAAGTATACTTGAAAAGAAAAAAAAAAGCAAATCTGAGAGATGGAGAGAGAGAGAGAGAGAGAGAGAGAGAGAGAGAGAGAGAGAGAGAGAGAGAGAGAGAGAATGGTCTCATATACTAAGGCGTTGCCTGTGTGCTCCTGGATCGAGCCTTTTCTGAAGCCCGTAAGTGCTTCTTCCAGCATTCAAAGGGTTTCTGCATCTTGCAATCATAAGTGGTCTTAAGAGGGCTGGAGCGATAGTACAACGGGTGAGCGAACCCGGTTCGATCCCCGGCATCCCATATGGTCCCCTGAGCATTGCCAGAAGTGATTCCTGAGTGCAGAGCCAGGAGTAACCCCCGAGCATCACTGGGTGTGACCCCAAAAGCAAAAAAAACCCCCAAAACCCCCACAACATAAGTCACCTTAAGAATATCTGGGGCTGGGGAGATAATACAGAGATTTAGAGAACATACAAAGCAGGCATCTAACCCTGTTTTGTCTTTAGCATTTCCAGCTGTATCCCTGGAGGCCCCAAACACGGCTGGCTGTGGCCCTAGGCACTGCTCGGTCCTGGGCACCTCATCTTCAGGCCCTTACAATGAGAGAGAGCTTTACCCCCCTCTCCACGATTCTTGGACAACTGGCCAGCAGTTTAACTCAAGGACCTTTGGGTGTAGTTCTGCTGGGGCCCCTGCGGTATTGGAATTACCCAGGCCAGCCCAGCAGTGCTCTGGGGCCTTAGACCTCAATGAAGCTTCGGAACCCGCTGTGCTGGGGATTGAACCAGTGTTGGCAGCTTGCAAGGCATGTGCTTTAACTTACCTTGTACTATTGATGGCCCCAGTCTCTATTTATTTATTTATTTATTTATTTTGGTTTGTTTGTTTTTTTGGGGGGGTCACACTCAGCGATGCTCAGGGGTTACTCCTGGCTCTGCACTCAAGAATTGCTCCTGGGGGCTGGAGCGATAGCACAGCGGGTAGGGCGTTTGCCTTGCACGTGCCCGACTGGGGTTCGATTCCCAGCATCCCATATGGTCCCCTGAGTACCGCCAGGGGTGACTCCTGAGTGCAGAGCCAGGAGTAACCCCTGTGCGTCACTGGGTGTGCCCCAAAAAGCAAAAAAAAAAAAATTGCTCCTGGAGGTGCTTGGGGGATCCTATGGGATGACGGGGTTTGAACACATGTTGGCTACATGCAAGGCAAGTGCCCTCCCCGCAGGACTATCTTTCCGGGCCGGTTCCCATTCCTAATTAAAAAATATGGCTTTTAATTGAATTCATGACAATAGAACATTATGACATTTGACATTTGGGCTGGAGCGATAGCACAGCGGTAGGGCGTTTGCCTTACAAACGGCCAACATGTCCGACCTGAGTTCGATTCCTCTGCCCCTCTCGGAGAGCCCGGCAAGCTACCGAGAGTATCTCGCCCACATGGCAGAGCCTGGCAAGCTCCCCGTGGCATATTTGATATGTTAAACACAGTAACAACAAGTCTCATGATGGAGACGTTACTGGGCCCGCTCGAGCAAATCGATGAACAACGGGAGGACCGTGACCGTGACCATGACATTTTTAGGTTGCATCAAAAAAAAAAAAGTGATATGTAGGGAGCCTGAATGAAAGTATGGGGATAAGGTGAATTCCTTGCAAGGAGCCAATCCTGGTTTGGTTTCAGTGATCCTTGTGCACAGAGCCAGGAGTCAGCCCTGAGCACTGCTGGGCGAGCCTCAAAAAAAACAAAGAAAGATGTAATAAGTAAATAAAATCAGCATGTAGAAATTCCCTTCATGACTACGTCTGACTTTAGTTCTGGCATGAGCCCGTCGTTTCATTGATGAAAGTGCTAAAACCAATGGTCTTAGCATTCAAGGCTTTTAGCATTCAAGGCTGAAGGGGTGGAACAGATGTTTGCCTGCAGGTCACCTGGGCCCTGGGCACTGAGCTGGGAGTAGCCCCTGAGCACCACTGGGTGTGCCCCCCCAAAAACCCAACACACAACCCTAAAGATCGTATGACGGTTAGTTGTGAATGTCAAGACTTCCAAAATAAAGTGAAATGTTGACCGTCTTCATGGCGACCAGCCGAAGGAGGAGAGTAAACTCCACAATCTCCCTTAGAAAACAGAGTAGCCAAATATAGAGAACAGGAATTTTTTCCTCTTTTTTCCCTCTTCCTTTTGTTTGTTGGGCCATGTCCAGGGGGGCTCAGGGATCACTCCTGGAGGGGCTCCAAGGACCCTGTGGGGTGCCAGGGATTGAACTCAGGTTGGCCAGGTGTAAGGCAAGTGTCTTATGTGCTGTACTGTCTCTCCAGTCCAATAACAGGAAATTTAGGACGTTGAAAATGTAAAACGCACCTATTGCCTCTTTTGCAAACCATAACACCCAATAAGAGAGAGAGAACAAAAAGGAATACCCTGCCACAGAGGCAGGGTGAGATAGGGGGGATGGGGGGGGTGGAGGGATACTGGGATCCGTGGTGGAAATGGGCACTGGTGGAGGGATGGGTATTTGATCATTGTATAATTGAAACCCAAGCACAAAAATTTGTAAGTCTATAACTGTACCTCATGATGTCTCACTAATAAAAATCAAAAAAAAAATAAAAATGAAGAAAAAAATAAATAAAAGAAATGTAAAACGCTTCTCCTCATTGACTTCAACGGACATGAACGGAGTTCAGGTCTGGGAGAGTCTCAGGTGCTCAGCCGGGCCAGCCGAGGGCCAGAGGGATATTCCCCCAGGGCAACAGAACCAGCTGCAGTGCAGTTTTGATATGGGGAGACTGTTTGCGGGGGTTGTGGGAAGGGCAGGGTGCCCAGACCCCCAGGGATGAGCTCTGGGCAGGAGGTTACAGTTCAGGTACATAGGGCCTGTGCTCGAGCGGTAAAGGTAAAGGCCCTCCCGTTGATCGTCGATTTGCTCGAGCGGGCCCAGTAACGTCTCCACTGGAGACTTTGTTTTTACTGTGTTTGGCATATCGAATACTCTCGGTAGCTTGCTGGGCTCTCAGAGGGGCAGAGGAATCGAACTCGGGTCGACCATGTTGGCCGCTTGTAAGGCGAACGCCCTACCGCTGTGCTATCGCTCTAGCCCTGTGCATTTGCTGGAAACTTGACATGGCATTCTTTTTTTTTTTTTTTTGCTGTTTCTTGGGGGGTCACACTGGCAATAAACAGGGGTGACTCCTGGCTCTGCAGTTAGGAATCGCTTCTGGCGGTGCTTGGGGGACCATATGGGATGCCGGGGATGGAGCTCAGGTCAGCCGCGTGCAAGGCAAACGCCCTCCCCACTGTACTATCACTCCAGTCCCCAACATGGCATTCTTCATGCCCGAGATATCCTTGAAAATAAAATTATCGACCTCAACATTTCAAAGTGTTGCTCCGGGCACATGAGCAAAACCAAGTCCTTCCCTGCCCGCCCCCAGCCACGTGGAACTTTTTGTCCACAGGGACCATCTCGGATTCACTAAGTTAGGTACTGTCCACGCCTACAGATTCATCGACAGCACGGCTGCTTTGGGCAATGGTCCTTTTGCCGGCTTGAGTCTCCCGCCGAGTGAAGGAGGGCGGGTCTTCATCCCCAAGACCTCCCTGGGTGCCAGCCTCGCTGGGGGGTGGGGGGCAGATTTCATTAGAAAAGGACGAGGCTCCTCAGAAACCTGGTCTGCAGACTGGCGAGTTCTGTCCATCTTGGAGCTGAGACTGAAACGCACTGTGGACGTCCCTCCCTGTCCCCCTCCCCAGACCCCTCTTGCCTGAGAGTGACACAGACCCCCTCCCCCAGGAAATCCTCCAAAAAGAGTAGAAACTTAGTGGGTCCCATGCTTCGCACCCCTCCCCCAGGGGTCTTGTTGCCCAAAAGGCTGATAGTTTATGAGTGAGGCTGAGAATTTGGGGTCCCGGGTGGCACCAGCTCCAAGCCAGCCTGTGGGTGACCCTGACATGGGCGGACCCTGAGGTACGAGACCTCAAGGAGCTCGTCAGGAGAATCCAGCTTGGCTGTTTCTTTTCTTCTTTTTTTTTTTTAATTTTTTGCTTTTGGGGTCACACCTGGGGATGCACAGGGGTCATTCCTGGCTCTGCACTCAGGAACTACCGAGCACTGGCGGTGCTCAGAGGACCATAAGGGATGCTGGGAATCGAACCTGGGTCAACCGCGTGCAAGGAAAATGTCCTACGCGCTGTGCTATTGCTCCAGCCCCAGCTTGGCCATTTCTGGCTCAGGTTGGCCGTTTCTGGCTTCATATCACGCACCCGGCATCAGGAAACCAACTGTCCTGCTTTGTCAGGGAACCCTGATGTTCGCAGGCCAGCCGGGAGGTGGTGGTGGCCATCCCGGCTCAACCTCACCAGCAGTGACCACTGGGAGACTCTCAACACGGGCTGGGCACATTGTCCTCTTGATCCCCTGTGCCTTGATTCTCCTTCCCACCCCCGTTCTGCGCCTTCCAACTTTCCACTGCCGCACAAACTTATTCTCCAAACAGAGCTTCACACTCCAACCCCTTCCATGGAGTACATTTTTGAGGGCAGCTGTCCCCCCGCTCTGCACCTCCATGGCACTCCTTGGGCCGGGACACGCCCGGGTTTGATGTGAGCGCCTAGTGGCGGAACTGCTCACTCTGTGAAGTCAGGGAAACTGAGGCACGCAGCAGGTTGGCCACCCCGCCTTCAGACACACAGCGGAAAGGGGTCTGAGGCAGGATTTCAACCCAGGAAAGGGGAGTCCGCGACTCAGGCCCTCGGCCCCCTCCCGCTGCTACCCACGGGCAAAGCCAAGCTGAGAAGGATGTTCCCGTGACCAGAGGGCACAGGCTTTAGGGAGAGTAGGAGTAGGACGTCGAGCACGAGATGACCCCGCTCATGAGAGAAAGGAGACAGGGAGTTGTGAAGATGGCATCACGATGGTTCTTTAGAACAGAGGATGGAAATGGACCAATGAGCTCTCAAGTCTTTGACTTCAAGAATCAGCCCCTGCGATATGCCAGGCACCATGGTTCTCCCTGCATAGGCTGGTCCTCCTCTGACGTAGAGAGGGCGGGCAGGTGACTCTTAGGTAAGTGATGCTTCACAGGGCATCCTCTTCCAGTAAGGGAGAGTCTGAGAGGCATGAACGGATGACAGCCACGGGATGAGGCAGCCTTTAAGGCAAGGCTGGAAGGAAGGAAGGGAGGACAGATCTCTGTTCAAAAGCAGCAGAACTGCTCGGGCTTCTTTTTTTTTGTTGTTGTTGTTGTTTTTTGCTTTTTGGATCACACCTGGCAATGCACAGGGGTTACTCCTGGCTCTACACTCAGGAATTACTCCTGGCGGTGCTCAGGGGACCATATGGAATGCTGAGAATCAAACCCAGGTCGGCCGCATGCAAGGCAAATGCCCTCCTTGCTGTGCTATCATCACTCCAGCTCCTGTTCTGGCTTCTTTGGACCTGTGGAGCCCAAGAGAGTGCCTGGCACATGGCAGGGGGTCTTGGGCTGGCAGAGATGCGAGTTGGCATGAGGTTTGCACCGCATGAGGATGGAGTGGAGAGGCCCCGGGCAGCCAGCCCGCCACCAAGGGGCTCCAGGTCACTTACTTGGCTGCTGGCGTCTTTCGCGTTTGTGTCTTCGGAGTGAGAGGTCCCTCCGTCCCCTTTCACTGACTAAAATAACAAACAGACAATGGGGCGTTCAGTTCTCCCGGGCATGGCCATGTGTGGGCAATGTGAGTTCTGAGAGGCACGACCTGAGGCCTGGCTGACTGAGACTCGGGTTCGAGGGCAGCAGGAGATGGCAAAACAGGCCAGGCTGGAGATGGACCAGTTTCACAACGTTCGTTGGTCAACCAAGTCTACTCCCGGCTTCCAAGAGATGACAAAAATCTCTGCGTGGGAAGCTAAAGTGATGATGAGAACACTAATAGTTGAACCAGGAGGGGCTTGAACTTATTACTCACAGATGGGCATAAAGCCAGCTGGTGTCCTATTGGCCCCCTAGGGTGGACTTGGGCTGTTTTTTCCTCTAGAGAAGACCTAGGCTCTGGGGACGGCCATCTCATTGTCTGTCCTCTAGCGCCCCCTGTGGCCACTGGCCATCACTGCTCTCAATGGGAGTTCAACTGCTTCTTATTGATTGAATCACCTGGAGAGCTCCGGCAATTCCTAAACTATTTTTAACGTTCCTAATGATGAGAGTGAGGGTCAGACCACAGCTGTGTCTTGTCGGAATCATCTCTATGTCTGGGTGTGGTTTTTTTTTTTTTTGGTGGCAGGGACAGGTGTCGGTATTTTTAAGTCTATTTTAGTGATTTCAGCCTGCAGTCAACTTTGAGAATCACTGCCCGAAGCTGACAATTCTCAAAGCGTGAGCCCCGAGACCAGCACCTGGGACCTCGTTAGAAAGGCAAATTTTGAGATTGATTCCAGACCAGCAGAATTGGAAACTCTCGGGGAGGGGCTTGTTTGAACTCAGCCTGCTGGTGTGGCTGAGATGTGTGTGTGTGTGTGTGTGTGTGTGTGTGTGTGTGTGTGTGTGTGTGTGTGTGAGTCTCGCAATGCTTTGACTGGCCACGGGCTCCCAGGGCTCCACAGTGGGAGCTGAAGTTTCGCCTGTGGACTTAGCCATGCTTGAAGCTTGGTCACTTACCCGGGAAAGTCTGGGCTGAGAATATTCAGTTCTTATCTTCAATTTGGACTCAGGACTCACTTTGACTCCTTGTCTACTACTGGGCTGACATTTGCCGTCTCCCCTAACCCTGCCATGCAAGGAGTGTTGGTAGTGGGGGACAAAGAGGAATTCCCATGTCCCCCTGTTATTATTCTGGCTGCTCCCCGAACAGACAGCAAGACTCTGCAATGCCGGCAGAGCTCAACACCCCTCGAGGCACTCAGATGAGCCTGGACTTGATGGGTCTCCAAGCTGAGACAGGATGCTCTGTCAGGACTAGAGATGGTGAGTATATTATTTAGGAAGTGAAACCACATACAGTTTTATTTATCATTATTACTGTCACTGTCCTCCCGTTCTTCATCGATTTGCTCGAGCGGGCCCAGTAACGTCTCCATTGTGAGACTTGTTACTGTGTTTGGCATATGGAATACGTCACGGCGAGCTTGCCAGGCTTTGCCGTGCGGGCGAGATACTCTCAGTAGCTTGCCGGGCTCTCCGAGAGGGGCAGAGGAATCAAACTCGGCTCAGCTGGGCTGGCTGCCTGCAAGGCAAACGCCCTACCGCTGTGCTATCGCTCCAGCCCTATCATTATTATTATCATTATCATTATTATTATTATTTTTTCACACCCAGCCATGCACAGGGGTTCCTCCTGGCTCTGCACTCAGGAATCACTCCTGGTGGTGCTTGGGGGACCCTATGGGATGCCGGGGATTGAACCAGGTTAGCCCAGTGCAAGGCAAGCGCTTGTACCATCGCTCCAACCCTCAAATCACTTAGAGCTTTCAGCAACGTATTTACCATGTGCTTGGCACTGTGCTAATCAACAATAGAACAGCCGTCTGCTCACTTACACATCGTGTCAGAATAGAGCAGAGCAATGCTTTTATCTCTCCCGTGTAATGGCCAAGCTCAGAGAATCAAGCATTGGGCTGGAAGTCTCAGGCTAGAGAGAGAGGTCCTGGCACAGACTTTATCTCTTGAATTTTTTATTTTGGGGGAGTGGGGTAAGGGTCACACCCGCAGCGCACAGAGGTTACTGCTGGCTCTGCACTCAGGAATCACTTCTATGTGCTCAGGGGACCCTACATGTTTAATGCATTAAGACATGGGTAGACGCCTATTAAAGTCTTAATAGTAAAGACAATAAGACTTCAAGCTTTTCCAGGGTGTCAGGGATTGACCCTGAGTGTCAGCCACATCCATCCAAGGCAAGCGCCCTACCCGCTGCCCTGACTCCACATTGCATCCTCTTGACCAACCTCCACAACAGCCCCAGTAGGAAGGAGGCATCGTGGAATCCACAAGGATTTGCCCAGGCATCTTCTGAAGCTACCGAAGTAGGAAAAACAACGAGTTTCCTTGGGTTGGGGCTGGAGTGATAGCACAGCGGTAGGGTGTTCGCCTTACAAGCGGCCAACATGGCCGAGCCGAGTTCGATTCCTCCGCCCCTCTCGGAGAGCCCGGCAAGCTACCGAGAGTATTCGATATGCCAGACACAGTAACAACAAAGTCTCCAATGGAGACATTACTGGGCCCGCTCGAGCAAATCGACGATCAACGGGAGGGCCTTTACCTTTACCTTTACCTTTCCTTGGGTCAAGATTGATAAAGTTCAAATAGGAATGTTTGCAGGACACGCCGAGGTTTGGGGTCCATCCATGCTGGTCTCTAAGTACTAACTGGGGCTGCTGTCCAGTTCAGAAGACTTCACATGGGCTGTGGGATGGGAACTCCTACATCCTATCCCAAACCCAAAGCAGCCTTCCCGGAGCCTGGTCTGGGGAGTGGGATGGAGCGAACACCTGGATGGAAGTTTTCTACCGGGCTAAGTATGCAACACGTCTTTCTTCGCTCGGCACCCCTGGGGTCTGGATGCTTCAGGGATATCATTGATGTGGGATTTACCAAGCTGTTCACGCCAGGGCATAAATAAGGCTTCCCACTCTCTGTGTTCAATTTTTGTTGTTGTTGTTGTTTTTGTTTTTCGCTTTTTGGGTCACACCCAGCGATGCACAGGGGTTACTCCTGGCTCTGCACACAGGAATCACTCCTCGTGGTGCTTGGGGACCCTATGGGACGCTGGGAATCGAACCCAGGTCAACTGCGTGCAAGGCAAACACCCTACCCGCTGTGCTATCGCTCCAGCCCCCCTCCCTATTAAATTTAAATTCACTTTGATGGAAAATGGTCTTTTTTGTTTGTTTGTTTTCTTCTTTGGGGCCTTCTGCTTTATTTATTTATTTATTTATTTTACAAGAACCATTCTTGCTTGAGAATATGGAGAAAAAAAATGGATGCTCTCTTGGTGGTTATCTCTCCCGACAACCAGTTCTGGTCTTGCTCAAAGGCCTGAGGAGTCCTCTGGCCTCCAGAATTCTGGCTGTTGTAAGAATCTCTGACCAAGATTCCCAGGGTTTTGGAAATAGTGAAGATCCTCATTTGTCTGTCTCTGGTGATCTGCAAGACCCAGCGAGCCAAGGGAACCAGGCTCATCACCTACTGAATGAACGAGGAACCAAGCTCGCCCCATCCTGCCTTATCCCTGGGGCTAGGGAGGTTTTGATTTTTCTGCCGTTGTTTTCATCTGGAACGTGTTAGGTATTCTGCCAGTCAGAGCTCACTTTGCTTTTTCTCTCTCCCTGTCTTTGCCAGTCTTGGATCGGGGAGAGAGGCCTGAAACGGATTCCGGGTTGTCAGGAAGATTCACCTCTCCAAATAGAGGATCTCAAGTTTTCTACAACTTTTCTGTTCATTTTGAACTATAGAAAGCAGTGTGGGGGCCACAGCGATAGTACAGCTGGGAGGCACTTGCCTTGCATGGGGCCGACCTGGCTTCAGTCCCCAGGACCCCATAGGGTCATCCCCTAAGCCCGTCAGGAGTGATTCCCGAGTGCAGAACCAGGAATAACGCTTGAGTACCACTGGGTGAGGCCCCCAAATAAACACAAAAAACCCCAATAAATTAAAAAGCAGTAGTATGCAAAAGTTCCTGAATGCCAAATTTGGACTAAGGGGTCTTATGAAACTCACCTGAGGCCTGTCCAACATTAACTGTCCTCTCCACCCACTTCCCTCCTGTCTTCCTTTCTTTGAAGTTTTTGGGGCTCTCGGGAGACTGGGGTCCTGAGGATAGAATGTCCTGTGTCCGAACATGCGCTCTGCCCCCTGCATCCTCTCTGGGTCCCCCTCTTTCACTCCCTCTCATCACCTTGCCGAGCCCTCACTCCGAGACGAATGGGAATGATTCGTGTTGGGTTTTGCATTAAACGATCCAAACCACAAAAGCTTATTTTTTCCAGCTGTCAGAAATAGCAGTATTACTATTGAAAGAGGCGAAAATTCTTTCAGTGATTATTTAATGCGTTAAAACATGGGTAGACGCCTATTAAAGTCTTAATATTAAAGATGATAAGACTTCAAGCTTTTCCAGGGGGACATGAATTGGTCCACACACTTATTTTAAAAAAAATACTCTGCCAAGAGTTTCTTTGTCATGGGATAGTAATAAATGTTCTCTGAAATAAATACTTCAAATAGAGTTGGAGAGATAGTACAAGGGTAAGCTGTTGGACTTGTATGCATGGTTTAATCCTTGGCACCCAATAGGATCCCCTGAGCACTGCCAGGGTAAGGCAGGAGTCAGGAGTCAGCCCAGGGTATGGACAACTCCTCCCCCCACCACCTGAATTTAAAGTCAAAAGCTAAAAGACAGAATCGCCCAGCTGCTAATGGAAACATTGAATGCACAATTTAAACTTGCTTTACAATTTTCTCTTCATTAAATCAGCTATTTAAATAAAATCATCTTTTGCTAACAAGGTCTAAAATCAGTTTGACATATTCATTTATTTTCCTTAAACAATAGCCACCCCTCCTCCCACCGGCTCCTAACACACACACACACACACACACACACACACACACACACACTGGCCAAATGCTATCTCTGTTGTCAAGTTTCAAGGGAATTTACCCTCCTGCATAATTCCAAAAACTTGACATGCATTTGGAAGCCATACAAGGTGTTTCATTTTCCAAATAAACGGTTGAGGCTGACTTCTGGCTACCTACTACCACTCGGGAGTATTAGGGAAAGACCGTGACAGAAGAAGGAAGTTGAGCACAGGATGACCTCACTTAGCTGAGGTCTACAGGAAATGTAAAAGGGGGGACGCCTAGATCACCCTTGACCCCAGTGTTTGAAGTGGAGAAGGACAGAGAAGAAAAGAAATCAAGGGAGGGTGGGAGAGACGAGAACAAGAAGTCATGGGTGAGTAACCACCAGGGCTTAGGTGGGTGATATGGGAGAGTGGTATAGCCATAGACCCCAAACACAGACTCAACAACCCTGAAAACAGGAGACCCCCAGCTGCAACCACTTTTAACCTGCCTGTCAAGGTGACAGGCGGGGATGGGGTGGGATTGGGGGTGGGGAGGGAATTCTGGAACTCTGGTGGAAGGAAGCTGACGCTGGTGGTGGGATTGGTGTTGAACTCTCATATGCCTAAGACTCAACCAGGGGCAACTTTGTAAATCCCGGGGTTAGGAATGCAACTGAGGTGTGGGTGTGTGGTATCAGGGTGCAGGGTAGGGTTCAAATTTTATTTTCTTCCTGCGGCTTCATTCTCCATGAGCATCATGGGCTACCCCCGTGCAGGTCCATGACTGCATCCCTGTGTCCGGCGTCTAGTGGACGTGCCATCAATATTTGTGAAACAGTCAATGAACGAGAAGCAAAAAGAGAGACACAAGCCAAGTGATTCGTCAATGGGAGCGGTTCATTAAAGGGGGATAAGTCTACGGTGTGATTCAAAGAAGTTCTAAAGAATCAGGGGGCTCTAGATTAGGGGCTGAAAACTTGAATGCCCCCGAGTCTAGGGCCTGTAATGGAAATGAGTGAGCAACAGGGAGGTTGGGGACGGTGGTAAATGATTCAGTTCATGCCTTTGGTGTATTTTGCATATTTTAACTAATCAAATGGGTGAACTCTAATGAGATTTTTCAAAAGGATAAAAGAGTAAAGAAGAAGTCTGGGATTTTAGGGGAAATCCCTAGAATCACGGGTGCATGGAGTTTAAACATTCAAAAGAAAGACTCATGGTCAAGTCCCAGGAATCACCCTTCTTTTTTTGTTTTGTTTTTGGACCACACTCTGCAATATTCAGAGGTTGCTCCTGGCTCTGCACTCAGGAATCACTCCTGGTGGTGCTCGGGGGACTGTAAGGGAAGCAAGAGATGGAACCCAGGTCATCCTTCTGCCAGGTGAGCTCCCAACTCACTGCATTATCTCTTCAGTCCTAGGAATAACCTTCCTAGTGAGCACTGAGTAATAATAATGGACATGATCTGTGAAATATGTATTCTCTTTATCCCAAAGAGAACCAATCCCAAAGAATTCTTCTCTTTCTATCTTGTTCCCCTAAGAAACAGAAATTTCCCAGTTTTAATATAGAGACTATCCCCAAATAAGAACAAAAAGTTCTGGAAGATGAATTTTAATATTTGCATTCTCTATGGAACAGATGTATATTTATTAGATGGATTTATTTTTATTATTATTTTGCTTTTTGGGCCACACCCAGTGATGCTCAGGGGTTCCTCCTGGCTCTGCACTCAGGAATTAGTCCTGGCAGTGCTTGGGGGACCCTATGGAATGCTGGGGATTGAACCCGGTTTGGCTGCATGCAAGGCAAACGCTCTACCCATTGTACTATCGCTCCGGCCCCATGACGGACTTATTTTGAATGGACATAAAAGGTGGTTCCTTAGAAGTTCCTTAATTAAAGTAGATTCATAGTGGCTGTTTGCCAGAGAAAGGTTTTTTTTTTTTTCTTCCATGGTTGGGTGGGCAGTATATCTCAACTCCATTTAGAAGCAAGAAAAGAGGTCACTCCTGAGACTTAAACCTGAAAGCTTTGTAACTTTTCCCACAGTGATTCAATAAATAAATAATTTTTTTATAAAAAGAAAAGAGTTCACTCTCAATGATTATAATGAACAATTTGTGGATCCATTTATGATTCAGATGGGTTTCCTGAAATAGACTTAGTGTTCTTTTCTTTCTGACATTGAGTAATGTTTAGTTAAAAAAAATCATACCTTAACCCCCACTTTCAGTATCACATGGCAGAATAAATGACCAGGAGTTCAGAGTTGGGGGGCTCAGCTGCACAGGTCACAGTGCTTGGGGGACCCTTACATCTTCTGTCAAGCCCACCACGAGGGGAGAATGGCCGCCACCAACAGTGTCCAGTAGACTGATTTCCAATATGCCTCGACTCCCAGCGGGAAGGCTCTTGTCTGGTCACGTTTGGGGTACTAGAAAGAATTTCTTAACAGGTTGTGGCAGTGAAATTAGAGTTGCTTTTTCAAAGGATTAAACTGCTGAAGGCACTCGGGAATTTAAGTTTGCTTTCCATTACTGAGAATTAAACCAGTGACCTTTCACATGGTTTTTGTTTATGTCTCCCAATTTGGATTTTTGTGGAATGCTATTATTTAAGTTCCTGATGGTTTAGGTGTTTAATATAAAAGATTCTTCATAGATGAGGAAGATGTCTGTCCATATTCTTCCCGTTCTAATGACTAAGTGGGGGACAAAATCACCAATGGAGTTCTGCAGGCTCAATGTTAGAAAGTCATGTTGTCAGGGCTGGAGAGAGTGCAGTGGTTAGATGCTTTACCTGCCTGACTCAGGTTTGACCCCTGGGACCAAATCTGGGTTGCCCCCCAGAGCACCACCAGGAGTTATCCCCGAGCACAGAGCTGGGGATAAGCCCTGAGCACCACCACACGTGACCCCAACTATCCCCCTCCAAAACAGAAAATTATATTGTTATTTCCTCATTGGAATTATGTATGAATTAGCTTTGTCCGCATTTGTATCATTTACATAGCACCCTTAGAATTTTCCCAGGGCTCGGAACATAAAGTAACAAAATAGGAGACTACACCCAAGAATAGTCGAGATAAGTACCAGGAGGATTACTCCATGGCTTTGAGGACAACCGCACACGCTAGGGGAAAAGGCAGCTCAGATAGAGAAGGGAGCACCAAATAAAGGGTGTTGGGAGGTTCCTCTCAGGATGGGAAATGCGTGATGAGAGTAGACTATAGACCGAACAAGATTGCCACTCAATGTCTCTTTGCAAAGCACAACACCCAATAAGAGAGAGAGAACAAAAGGGAATGCCCTGCCACAGAGGCAGGGTGGGATGGGGGGATGGGGGTGGGAGGGATACTGGGATCAGTGGTGGTGGAGAATGGGCACTGGTGGAGGGATTGGTCCTCTATCATTGCATAACTGAAACCCAAGCACAAAACTTCGTAAGTCTACAACTGTACCTCATGGTGTTTCATTAATAAAAATTTAAGGAAAAAAAAAAAGAATTTTCCCAGGGCTCAAGAAATAGTATAGGGTTATGGTACTTGCTTGCTTTGTAGGCAGCAGACCCGCATTTAATCCTGCGCTCAATTGCACCCAAGCCCTCCAAACCCAGAAATTTGTTTCAAAGTCAATATATATAGATATCTCTCTCTCTATATATATATATGTATATATATATATAAATTACTTTTTTTTGCTTTTTGGGTCACACCCAGCAATGTTTAGGGGTTACTTGTGGCTCAGCACTCAGCAATTACTCCTGGTGGTGCTTGGGGGACCCTATGGGATGCCAGGAATCGAACCCGGGTCGGCTGTGTGCAGGGCAAACGCCCTCCCCACTGTACTGTCACTCTGGCCACTAGAAATGATTTCTTATTTAATCCTTTCAATAGACTTATTTAATCCTTTCAAAGTATCATATGCTGTAATGTGAGTAGATGTCTTTTCCAAGGAAACAGCAGCTCATTTGCCAGACATAAAAGGAGATGGTACAAAAAAATATGCTTAAAAGTGAGCAGAAACATTCATTTCTAACCTGGAGCTAGAATGGGCTCAAATTGAGGGCCCGTGAAAGAGAGAGTAGCCTGGGTTAGTGCCAACATCGAGGGTACCATCCGTGAACAGACATCTTTTTTCCCTGGACCAGATCAGAGCCACAGAAGGGCTTTCCCTCCAGACCCCTCTTTCTCTCCAGGGAGCCCCTCTGACAATGAAGTCTCAGCCCTCCTGGGACCCCTCTCCTTTATTCTCATGAGAGAGGGGGGCCCTTTTTCCTGGACGGCACATTCCTCTCAGTCACCTCCTCATCACCTCGAGGAGGACAAGAAGAATCCTGGTGGGTGTTGAGCCAAACAGTCCTGATCTCACTTTCTATTATATCCCTCCAAGCCTCAGTTTCCCCGAACCCCTAGATAGGTTAGAGTGACGCTCAGGGCTCATCACGCCCCCATAGCCCCCAGCTTACCATTTGCCTGAAAAACGCCCTCAGGGACGTTCTGGATGGTTTTCGCTCTTCACGTTTGAGTTTGGCCTCTGCGGGCTCGGGGGCGGCCTCTGCTCCTCCGCCGAGATCCACTGTGTCTAAGTCAGACTCCAACTCCTGGCTTGCCTGCGCCTCTACTGGTGATTCACACACCACCTGGATTATTTTACCCGGTAATAAGACAGTGAAAACAACATCAACAGCTCCCCGAAAACCTGTTGGATTAAGCGACGGCCCTTGTTGGCATGCAGCTGGGGTATGAAGTAGGACCAAGAAGCGCGGTGACACCCATTTCCAATGATTATCCAATAGAGCGACTCCCAAGTGGCCAAATTCTTGACCCCTGCAAAGCACAAAGCTTGGACAGAAGCTCCCTCCCCGAGGACTTCCTCATACCACGAGTCTCTTGAGTCTCTGGCTTCCACACTATTTTGGTCGGCTATTAAGGTGACTTGTGTTGGGCTTGGGTCAACTCAGGAGTGATCATTTCCTCAAGAATCTGACCCCAGAGCCATCTCTGCAGCAAATTGCTTGGGTCCGAGAGTCATTTGTGTGTCTCGGGATCATGGCTGTGTGGGAGCTTTCGATCTGGACTTTGCAATAGGCCATTTTCACCGGGTCACTCAGTTGGGGGCAGGTGCCATCCCTCTGCCTGGCCTCTAGGAGGAATCCCAGCGGCTGCCATCTTCCAGAGCTCAGCAAAAAGCTCCAGGTATGAGTGGGGGTGGCGGGAAATGCCAGTCCTCATGGGACAGGGAAGGAGTCAGTCCTTCTCCTTCCCTCTGCCCTGATGAGACTCTGAGATAATGCCCACACATGGCCATCATCTACTTAAACTCCCACACGTCCATGATCCAGAGACACACAAACGAATCTCGGATCCAAGACACTTGCTGCAGTGATCTCTCCAGACCCTAATTATTAAAATTTTAGAATTCCTAGAGACATTATATGGTATCCATAACAAGTGATAAAAAAACATTGTCTAGCTTTGCATTTTCGGCAGGTATGAGTGGTGGTGGGACTGGGCTCAAATATCAAAGATAACCAAAGTTGAGAGTATTGTGAAAACTGTCTGTCACACAGGCAGGGGTAGGTGTGGAATGAGGGAGGGGTGGGAATACTGGGGACTTTGGTGGTGGAAAACGTGCACTGATGAAGGGATAGGTGTGTGATGATTGTGTGATCAAAGCTCAAACATGAAAACTCTGTTACTGTACCTCACAGGTGAATCAATAAAAAGGGAAAAAAATAAAAATAAATAAATAAAATGAAAAAAAATTATTTTAGGTTAAAAAAAAAGAATCTGACCCCAGAGATGGTGATTTTGACATCTCTCATGCCCATCCCAGTTCCCTGAGACTATGAAAATGTCTTTGTTTTGTTTGGAGGCTACACCTGGCTGTGCTCAGGGTTTACTCCTGGTTTTGCGCTCAGAGATCACTCCTGAGGAGCTTAGGGGACAATGGAGGATGCCGGGGATCGAACCCAGGTTGGCTGTGTGCAAGGCAAATAGAGACTGTACCTGCTGTACTATCTCTCTGGCCCTGAAACTGTCCTCTTTTGCCGAGGAGAGGGGTAGAACCTTTCGAGGGAATACACTGCATTCGTCAGACTGGATTTCTCACAAATGCATTTCCCACCTCTGCCCGGAGGAGTGAGTAGACGGGTTATGGAATTGATGTTCACACTTTCAGAAGAAACATGAATGAAGCTATAGAAAGCAGTGGCCAAGGACCCCTGTGAACTGTGCTTCTTTCTGGGATAACTGGGAGAGGTGGCAGGAGGAGGTGCACCGTGCGGAATAGAGGGCCAGCCACCAGCAGAAGGGTCAAGACAGAAGGTCCAATCCACTGCTCTGAGATGGCCAACTTCACTCCACGCCCGTTTCATGCTCCTTTTGCATGGGGTCTCAGGTACACACAGGACAATATCTGCCTTTGCAGGGGTCTCTGTCACAGGCTGGAGTTCACTGGCCTTGAGCGAGTTCTAGAGTTTTCTTGTTTCCAGCAGCGATGGTAGACAACAACCCAACCTCCTCCCTCTGCTGGCTCGGGTATGACCCCTGAGCTAAGCATGGGTGTTACTGCCGAGAGCATGGTAAATTTTTTTTTTTAACATGAAAAGCATGCGGCAGAGATTGTATCGGACCTGCCAAGCTGACAGTCCTTACTTCTGGTCTTTTCTTTTACCACCTCCAGCCTCGCAGAAAAGAACCACACGGCCAACGGCGTCGTTGTCTTTGTCTTTGCCTGTTCCTGGTCCCCAGCTTCCTCCACGGGCTTGCTTTGGCTGTTGGAGAAGGAATGAGGCACCATTTGCTGGTGAGAAACCATCTTCCTTTCTTTCTCCAGAGGATACCGTCGGTTTGCAAATCAATCTGCGTGAAGAAAGACTTGTCTCATGAGGAAAGACTAGTCTCTTCGCTCTCTATGCAAAGACAGGAGAAGCAGGACAAGCAGGGGTGGGCCAAGCTGGCCGTGATCTGAGAGGTCTCCCAGGCCATTTTCTGAAGAGGCTTCGTCAGCTCCATTTGAATGTCAGTCTGGGGTTCAGGCTTATTTCACTCAGAGGCCAGAATGGAGCAAGAGATTGCGATTGGCAGGCAAACCCGATGTGGATTTGCACACCACGGTCAATTTCATTCAAGAGCATTTCTGAAAAACAAGCCTCCCCCACCAATGGCCTGACATGGGGTCAGCCTCCCACGGGGACAGACTGGCATATTCTTATGCCCGCCTCCCTGGGTCTAATTGTTGCTTCTTGCCTTTTCTCAACTTCTTTGTGTTGTTCTGTTTTCTCCATGGGGACAATCTGCCCTCCCAAAAGTCATTTTTTAAAATAATAAATCAGACAATGTAGGGGCTGGAGCAATAGCACAGTGAGTAGGGTATTTGCCTTGCACGTGGCTGATCCGGGTTCAATTTCCAGCATCCCATAGAGTCCCACGAGCACTGCCTGGAGTAATTCCTGAGTGCAAAGCCAGGAGTAACTCCTGTGCATCGCTGGGTGTAACCCAAAAAGCCAAAATAATAATAAATAAGACAATGTATATCAGTGAGGAAGTGCCTAATACTTAATAAGCACTTCAATTTATCTTAATGGTTGTTACTCATGTCACACAAGAGCTTGTTACTTTATGGACATGAATCATGAAAAATCATCCACCGGCACATACTTATTATTTAGAGATGATATTAATAACTACCTCTTACTATGCTCAGTGCTGTGCAAAGAATTTTTCATACTTTATCCAAGGAGACATGACTGGGACAGGAGATATTATGACCATGTTATTCTACACCAATAATCTGAATGATTGACTTGGTCAGGGGCTGTCTGACGATAACCGACTATTGGATGTTGACTTGACTTCCTATAATGAATAAGAAGTTTGAAAACACAGCTTGATTCAGTGGTTCTAAAATCACCTAAGAATTTGGGTTCTTGCTATTCTTTGGCATTGCTCTCCGTGGGATGCCAAATGTTCATCCTTTTTATTGCTAGCTCGTGGATACAAAGTAGCTGCCACTGTTCCATACATCGCATCTTTAACCTAATGTCCTTAGAAGGGAGATCATAGCAAAAGACTTGTATTATGGTTCTCCTACTTTCAGGTACATTTCATTGCCAGAAATGGTCATACCTTTAGGCTAATGATTGGTGAGGAGAGTGGTATTACTGGTTTAGATCAATCACAATTAAATGCTTTCGGTGATTTGCAGGATGGTGGAGAGTGAGAGCCGCCAAGCTTGCCTAAGAGCCAGGGGAAGGGTGACAGAATAGGAAACAGCTGTCAGCTAGGTAATGACCCAGCGCTCCGAGTTCACTGGGAGTCTGACTTGGAAGCAACAAGTTCTTTTGTGGGCACGAAGGCCTTAAGGAGCAATTACTCACACAATGAAACGCCCAGATTATACGGCAATGACTTTATAAATCAATTTCATTTGACGGCCAGTGGTTCTCAAGCTGGGCCTTTCCAAATGCCAAGAGGCGTCAACTCATAAATCGGAGGCCAGCGTCCATCCTTCCAAATGCAACTCGGGCAGTAGCCAAACGAGGAGGGGGCACTTCTAAAGACGCTCGTATACCCTTTGATGTCAGGCCAAGAAGGGGTCTTTTGGCAGCCAAGGAAAATCCACCGACATCCAGTGTGGAAATGTAAAAGGATCCGAACTAAGCAGGGAGCTGATCTGCATAGACAAACAGAAGTGTTTGATTTGGATTTGGAGAGTTTTCCGCTTTCCTTCCAGACCCAGGCTTTGGGGAAAAAAATGCATTTCCTTACAGAGGACGCAGGTCGGTGCCGGCACATTTCAATTTGGGGGATGAGGGACATAATGAAAACCAGGCTTACGTGGTAGCTCAGAATTAAAGTCCCATTTGCTTAATTTCCAAGGGGCATATTGTTCATTGTTACACAAAGGTGGCTAATATGTTTACAAGGCAACTCTTAGCAGAAGTTTTTAACCTTTGCCTCCTGTATAGTGTCCGACTCAGTCCTGAAATTCTATTTCTATAGGTTTCAGAGACTGATTTACAGTAAGATAGATTTTCTTCACTTTAACCACCCCCAACATAACTGCATGGATATTGAATTTTTAATTTAGGAGCCAGAGAGATAGCTCAGTGTGTAAAGCACTTACTTGTCTTGCATGCAGTCAATTCAGATTCAATTTCTGTCACTACGTCTGTCCCACGTGCCCTGTAGCACCGTGGCACTGTCCTCCGATTGTTCATCGATTTGCTCGAGCGGGCACCAGTACCGTCTCCATTGTGAGACTTGTTCTTAGTGTTTTTGGCATATTGAATACGCCACGGGGAGCTTGCCAGGCTCTGCTGTGCGGGCGGGATGCTCTCGTTAACTTGCGGGGCTCTCCGAGAGGGGTGGAGGAATCGAACCCAGGTCGGCCGCGTGCAAGGCAAACACCCTACCAGCTGTGCTATCACTCCAGCCCATGTGCCCCGATCTGGAGTAATCCCTGAGCACCACCAGCTGTGGCCTCCAAACCAAAACAAGAAGTCTTTCTTTTCGAATCTTTCTGATCTTCTTCCTGCTTGGATATGGGGTATGATTCTTTGGTTACCAAGAGGTGAAATTCATTTTTCTACCCAGCAACTGATTTCTCCTTTTTTTTTTTTTTGTAGCGTCTCCAGTTTTGCTGGCTGTGAGAACCAATCCTCCCTACCAGTGATGTTTCTGGGGCGAAGATGTTGAGCAGGTCCAAGCCAGTCAACCTGATTTAGTTCCTGGGCCCCAGTGCTCAGGGCCAGGAGGATATGGCCGCATGTTTCACTTCCGGTTTAATTCACCCTCCTTCCTGGGGACAATCACAGTCACATCCATCACTGGGGACTGCCAAAAAAAAGGGGCCGGAGTCACAGAGCAGGACTGAAGGAAACCCTGAGAGCTTGCACGGTTCACTTGGGGCCACCGTTTCCCTCTGTGGCGGCTACATTAGCACTTCCGTGTTGAAGGCGCTGATTCACAAGTGCAGACCTCAGTGGGAAGAGACATGGAGACAGCCCACGCAGAGCTGACAGGCAGTATGGGCATGTGTGAGAAAACCCAATCTGTGCTCTGAAAGCCACTGCCCTGGGCACTCGGTGATGCCTGCACTAGCCCCTGCAACAAGTGACCCAATGGAGCACGTGAGTCCAGGTGAGTTCAATGAAAGAGAACCAAGGGCAGGCGCTATGGTTGGGGCCCCTCCTGGCCTCTGGTCTGGGCATTGTGATGTTGGAGACTGGAACAGGTTGCCGGACCAGAAGGAGCCTTGGGAGGATACAGTTTTATTTGAATCCAATTCTCCTTTCGAGGGCTGAGAACCAATCAAGTTCGTTTCCTTTTACATGCAGGTGGAGGTGGGCTTTGCTTTCAGCTTTCAGCCAAGAGATGACTTCCTGAAGCAGAGAAACAGCCTGTTTCCTTAACTGGGGGAAGAAGAGATGCCCTCCCAATTAATTTGCACATTGATTCTAGTCACCCTGTGACTTGAGGGTCATAGAGGGGGCACCTTGTGATATTGGTGGTTTGGAAGGACAGGCCCCTGATGACTTCTGAAGCCCCTGAGGAGAAACACTGATCTGTGGCCTTTGGCAGCTTGATTGTTCTTTCTAGCGAACATGGAGGAATGCTGAAATCACTCTATCCGGTGCTTGAAAAATACAGTTTGGCCTTGGAGGGGTTGCCGGACTGGCTTGGAAACTTGTAGAGAAATTTCACCAAGCAAACAGAATTTTCTTTCTTTCTTTCTTTCTTTCTTTCTTTCTTTCTTTCTTTCTTTCTTTCTTTCCTTCCTTCCTTCCTTCCTTCCTTCCTTCCTTCTTTCTTTCTTTCTTTCTTTCTTTCTTTCTTTCTTTTTTCTTTTTGGGTCACACCTGGCAATGCACAGGGGTTACTCCTGGCTCATGCACTCAGGAATTACTCCTGGCAGTGCTCAGAGGACCCTATGGGATGCTGGGGATCGAACCCGGGTTAGCCGTGTGCAAGGCAGATGCCCTGCCCGCCGTGCTATCACTCCAGCCCCCAGAATCCTTCCTAGGCCCAGAAGATGCATGTTAAAAATGCCCTTGCAGGACAGTGAAGCACACCTTCTTTCCAGTTTTGAAGTTAGAAGGACCACGTGGTTCTGCTCTTTTATTTGGGAGGAGGAAATGACCTTCCTCATTAGATGCATGCCTTCTCACGGTCAGCTGAGAGCCGCACATTTTCAGCAGGCAGTAGAGTCCCCAATTGCCCACTCCTAGTGTGACAATTGCCACCGCCGAGTGGGTCTCGGGGGAGGTAGATCCGTCCTGCACTGGCCTGGGGGCAGCTAGGCTGCTCTGCTGGGGAGGCCAAGTACTCTGAATTTCTAAAGGAACACGTGGGGTTGCATTCTAATACAACTTACTCACGCCACTCATGTTTGGATTCGAGTAATTTCCACATGGCACAATACACTCTTTTTTGGGATGGTTTTTCAATCAAAGTATTCATAGCGTTTTTCAGCTCATGGGTTATACAAAATGTAATTGATGGGCCAAAATTGATGCAATGGCTGACACATTTCAGAAGTCCCGAGTTCTTTCTATGTTTTACATCACACCTGTCGCTCCTCGGACCCTCGCAAGACCCCAGTGCGTAGGTGATGTTATTTTGGCGTTTTAATAGATGAGTAAACTTGTGTGTAGGATGTGGCCTAGCCTGAGGGTGGTGGGTGATATCGTAACACTTCAGGCCCAGCACTGTAATGAAAAGCTACTTAAAGGGTTGGAGAGGGGGCTGGAGCGATAGCACAGTGGGTAGGGTGTTTGCCTTGCTCGCAGCCAACGTGGCCGACCCGGGTTCGATTCCCAGCATCCCATATGGTCCCCCGAGCACTGCCAGGAGTAATTCCTGAGTGCATGAGCCAGGAGTAACCCCTGAGCATCTTCACCAGGTGTGACCCAAAAAGCAAAAAAAAAAAAAAGGGTTGGCGAGATAGTCCAGTGGGTAGGATGCTTGTCTTGTATGTAAGTAAGCCTGGGTTCGGTCCCTAGCATCCCATATGGTCCCCAGAGCCTCACCATGAGTGGTCCCTGAGCACAGAACCAGGAATACTCCCTGAGGACTGCTGGGGTGACCCCCAAAACAAATAAGCAAACACTAAAAGTAGTTAAGGTAGAAATGCTGAAATGGGAACATAGAAATCTTCTTTGTTGGGGAAAGCAATTCAGAGAACTTTTTTGTCATATTGATTTTCTTGAGAAAGTACTTTGCTTTTTGTTGTTGTTGTTTTGTTTTCTCATAACTTTTCCAGCTTTTGTATTTTCTTTCAGTCTCAAGAATTTACTGGGGGGCGGCTGAAGTGATCGCACAGCAGGTAGGGCGTTTGCTTTGCATGTGACTGACTCGGGTTCGATTCCCAGCATCCCATATAGTCCCCCGAGCACTGCCAGGAGTAATTACTGAGTGAAGAGCCATGAAGAGCCAGGAGTAACCCCTGTGCAACGCTGGGTGTAACCCAAAAAGAAAAAAAAAGAATTTACTGTGGGGGCCAGAGCAGTAGTACAGCGGGTAGGTAGTAGTCTAGTTGCCTTGCATTCAGTCAACCCGGCTCAATCCCTGGCATCCCATATGGTCCCCCAAGCACCACCAGGAGTAATTCCTGAGTGCAGAGTTAGGAATAACCCCTGAGCAATGCTGGCTGTGACGCAAAAAAGAAAAAAAAAAGAATTCACTTTGCTTCATGTTTACATGTTTTGGTTCAAATTTCACATTAGAAAATGAGATCTTCAGCATTTCCCCCATAGAGGGCTGCACTGCATTTTGGCGCGTGATCTGGGAGAGGCCCAGGTGCCTCAGATGAACATTTCCATCTTTGGTTCCTCAAGAACCTTAAAGCTAACATGCTTGGGGCTTAACAAGCAGCTTCAAATGTCCAGTTCATGGGGAAGGAGCGAATCAGTTCCTCCCTGCATGCTGCTGAACTAGAGAGTTTCACGTTCTCAAAAAATCAGCAATTCAAGAGAATTTTCTGGAATTATGAGTGGCCAGAGCTTTTCTGAGCTATTAATTTTGGAGAGAGAAGAACAGATTAACAAGGGAAAGGAAGAAAGGAAGGAAAGAAGGAGGTAAGAAAGGGAAGAAGGAAAAAGGGGAAGGAAGGGAGGGAAGACGGGAGGAAGACGGGTTGGAAAGAAAGAAGGGAGAGAAGAAGTGAAAGGAGGGAAGGCAGAAGTGGGAGAGAAAGGAGGAAAGAAAAAATCTACAATATAACAGATCTCGAAGGACTCCCTAACAAGAATTATAGCCATTATTCTAATTCTCATTCCATATCACAGAAAAAAAAATCATTTCTGGAAGTTCTTTGGATTTTTAGCAACTGTTCAATTCCAACAACTAAATGAAAATGAAAAGCCCTACTCATGGCGAGTAGATAAAGAGACACAGAGACGAGTCAAGTGCATTCTGCTTTGGCAACATGAGAAGCCCCAGTTCCTAGTTTCTACACCTAGAAGCGACACATTCACTTTCCCTCTTAGAACATTCCGCTCAGACTGCATTTCTTTCAGTGCAGAATCGGAAGCTCCCATGCCCAGGTATTTACTCTCCCTTGGAAGACAGTCTGGGAATTCACATTTTTGTTAGCATCTCAGACAGAGCCATTGCCTCCAGACATAAGTACACCAGTTGGCGGATTTTTGCCCATCACCCTGGAAGATTCATGCCGAAAGAAGGGCACTACGGCTCAGAGGAGAGACCCACAGAGCTGATTCTCCCACCCGACACCAGCCGTCTCAGCATCTACTACAGCAAGATGTTCCCTTGCCCCTGGGCTACCTGTTTCGGGTACCGCTCACAGTCTGAGGAGCTGTGGGTTGCTATGGAAACCAAGAGGCAGGAGCAATCAAGGCAGAATGAAAACAGAGGGAACAGCCTCATGGTCCCTGAAGGAAGCAAGAAGGTATTCTGATGTCTAGTAGACTCTTTCAGCCCTGAGACAGTGTCACATCTCACAAACATGTGCTCATACTTTGCTCGGAGTCAGTGGGCATTACGAATATTCACCCAACTTTAGTCCCCCGTGGCCCTAAGCCTTTGCAAGGGTGAAAGAGTCTACAGCAGATGAACAGCTCTTGGCACATGCAAGAAACATGGGACCCCAAGCTGAAATGCCCCGAGGTCTGACAAGCCAGAGATGAAGGTGGAATGATTCTGTCATAGCATGCAGAACTTACATTCTCCTCTGTACCTGGGGGGACCGGCGACTCTCTGCCTGACTATAAAAGGAAGATAAAAACATGAATCAGGATGGTACCTGAAAGTGAAGTATTCGTCGGGCTAACAGCTCTCGGGTGCAATGTGGTCATTTGCAGTTCACGTTTCAAAAAGAACTTGAAGGAGGCGCACAACGAAACAATACAGCCAGATTCTCAAAGTCACGTATGTTCAGATGCAACCAAGGCAAAAGTGCACAGGTACAGTTGGTACACAGGTGTGAAAGAAAACTCAACCCCAGTTAGGATTGGGACTCACCAGCTCATTGGCTTGTACATTTCCTGATGTCTGATGGAAAGGGGGAAGGGGGCAGTCAATTATACCAATGATGTGATTGCAAAGTTGATGTCTGGCTTACACCATTAGTTAGAGCAAAACACACAGCAGCTCAGAACTGCTCCAGCAAGAATTGTTCCAGGCATTCACCCCAGAGTCCCTACAGGGCAAGCGTGCACTGAGCTCAGCTGCAGTGTCCTCTCGGCCCAGTGACCAGTGTCAGAAGCTGAGTCTCACACCAGCCCTACACATGGGTCCACATCAGGTGCCCACATTTGTGGTTACCAGAGAGCTGCGTTCAGCATGTCAGCTTTAGACACAGTGACCTGCTAGACACAATCCTGCTCCCATAGGGAAGGAGGAGCCCCAGTGCCCATGAAGGTCCATGCCAACACCATGAGGGGCAGCCCTGACACCATCTCCGCATCTTTCCAGCAATCAGTCTTCCTTATATATTTTTTCCAGAGGTGGTAGTAATAACTGTGAATTTGGGAGGGGACTCACTTGACACAGCTGACCCCTCCTTTTCTTTCGATAAAGAAATCAAATATTTGCAAATAATTATTTTTTCTTTTTGAGTCACACCCAGCAGTTCTCTGGAGTTACTCCTGGCTCTGCACTCAGGAATTACTCCTGGCGATGCTCAGGGGACCCTATGGAATGCTGGGAATTGAACCTGGGTTGGCTGTGTGCAAATGCCCTACCCGCTGTGCTATCACTCTAGCCCCAAATATTTGCAAATAATTTTAGGATACTCAGAGCCCCCGGGCTCTCTTTGCTTAGATTTCAGATCAAGAACTCTCCTCTTTTGTTCTATGGCCTGCCTTTATTTTATTTTATATTTTTGCTTTTTGGGTCACACCCGGTGATGCACAGGGGTTCCTCCTGGCTCTGTGCTCAGGAATTACCCCTGGCAGTGCTCAGGGGACCATATGGGATGCTGGGAATCAAACCCGGGTCGGCCGTGTGCAAGGCAAATGCCCTACCCGCTGTGCTATTGCTCCAGCCCCCTTGTCTTTATTTTTTTACCTTGAGAAGGGAACTCTCTCTATCTCTCTCTGTCTCTGTGTCTCTGTCTCTGTCTCTCTTTCTTTCTTTCTCTCTCTCTCTCTCTCTCTCTCTCTCACACACACACACACACACACACATACACACACATGCACGCACACATAACTTGCATGAGGCACTAGCCATGTGGGATTCTCATCACCACAGTGGAGGCGGAGAGAGAGAGATTCCTGTTTCAGCTGGGACCACCAGGCAGCGGTGGGAATGGTGATGTGTCAAGTTTCCCTGGCAGTGATGACTTCCAGGAGTAGAGATTCCCTTTTCTTTTTGGCTCCTGTGTACCTTTGTTTCTCCCCTTAAAACATACTTTTTCTCTGGAACATTTATTTCTAATGATCTTCTCATATTGAAGATTACTTAGGTGTAATGTGTCCTTGGGAAAAAGAAAAAAAAAAACAAACTAGGACTCTGGATTTTCTGGAAGCTTCTGCTTGTTAGGAAATTGTGGAGCAATCAGAAGAAATTGCAAGCCGTGTAGCTTCCTTGGAACTACACACCTTCTTCCTGAGACCCGTGTTGGCTACTTATTTAACCCCAGGAGCAGAAATGGAATGAAACCACATTTGATAACCAAACTTCCCCAGCTCTGATCCACCCAAAGTAGTGTGGCTGCCATGTTTACGTGAGACAGACAAAACCTTCCACTATTTAGAAAGAGTTTTTTTTTTTTCCAGTTTTTCCAAGCCTTCTTTCCTGTTCCAATTAGTGATAATGAAACGAAAGTGTTTTCTTTCGTTTTCCTGTGTCTGGAATTTTTTTTTTGCAATTGATTCTCTTTTATATCCCAGAGGAATCTGGGAATCTAGCAAGGAGGATTGAGAGAAGTACGTGGAGCTCTGCTGACCCTCTGTTCCTGACCTTGATCTTTGGGATGGCACCCGGATTCCAGGTCTTCCTGAAGTTTTTAGAATTGGCATGACAAATATATTTATTTCCAAAGGAAATTGCTACTTGATGTTTTCATGTAGAACACAGTCATTCCTTAATTGGGGAATGAGTCTAATCACATATTTCTCCAACTTCAATATGCATCAATTTTTACATCTGTTCATCTGTTGAGGCACCACCTGGATTTACCTATATTACCATAAATTTATATATTCATGCAGAGAAACACATTTTTTTTGTCTGGGCTGAAGCACTCAGGGAATCCCACAAACAGGGCCTGTGCTTAGTCACCAAGCCAAGTCCCTGACCCCCACTTTAGCATATTTTTGAAAAGACGTCTTATTATTTGAGGAAACAGACTGTTGAATTCTTCTGCTATAAATAAAAAGTATGTATTAAAAAAGTATGTATTAAAAGTATGTATTAAAAAAGTATGTATTGTACTTTGGACAAACTTGCAGGCTATCGAATGTAGCCTGCCCACAGGGCAGAGTCTGGCAAACTCCCCGTGGCGTACCAAATATGCCAAATACCAGTAACAATGATGGGTCTCATTCTCCTAAAGAGCCGTGAATATAATCTCAGGGCTAGGATGAAAGAGACGTTACTGGGGCCTGCTCGAGGTAATCGATGAATAACAGGATGATGAAATGAAAAATGAAAATGAAATATATTAAAATAATTGCAATGAATCACAAACTTACTATGTTCTCATTCATTTTAGGTCTTTGTTCGGAAGGGAAGTCAGTGACTATTAGCACTGTGACAAATTCTTACTCATAGCAAGAAAAGATTCTTCTTTTTTTTATATCGAATCACTGTTAGTTACAGAGTTAGAGAGCCATTCATGATTGAGTTTGAGGCGTACAATATTCCAACACCAGTTCCTTCACCAATGTCCGTTTTCCTCTACCAGTGACCCAGTTTCCTTCCCTTATCCCAACCTGCCTCCCTCTATGCCAGGTAGTTTATTCCTCCTTTCAGTATTCTGTTCTCCAGAGCGTACACTTCCCTCCATCAATGTCCTATTGTCCCCTTCCAGGCCTAGTCTATCCCTGCCCCAAACAGTAGAAAGTCTCTGGCTGGAAACCAGCCCTCCTCCTCTTCATTCCTATTTGTGCCTTTAGACATTCGTTATTTCCCTACGATGTTTCTTTATACCCACGCAGGAGAGATCATTCTCTTTCTCTAACTTCACTCAGCAGAATATTCTCCAAATCCATCCATGTACCAGCATATTTCATCTCTACTCAGGGCCAAGAAATATTCCATTGTATAAGTGTAGGAGCACTGTAGCACTGTCCTCCCGTTGTTCATCGATTTGCTCAAGTGGGCACCAGTACCATCTCCATTGTGAGACTTGTTGTTACAGTTTTTGGCATATTGAATACGCCACAGGGAGCTTGCCAGACTCTGCTGTGCGGGCGGGATACTCTCGTTAACTTGCGGGGCTCTCCGAGAGGGACAGAGAAATCGAACCCAGGTCGGCCGTGTGCAAGGCAAATGCCCAACCAGCTGTACTATCACTCCAGCCTTAATTGAATAAATGTACCATGTTTTTTTTTCTCTTTTCATCTTTTCTTACGGCTAAGTAGTATTCCATTGTGTTTATGTACCATGTTTCTGTATCCAGTCATCTGTTCTTGGGCACTTGGGTTGTTTCTGGATTTTGGCTTTTGTGAATAGTTGAATTGTTGAATGTTGTGAACAATGTTGGATATTGTTGCAGTGAACACAGGAGTGCAAATGTCTTTTCTGCATCATTATGCTTTGAGGCCCTTGGTGCATATTCCAAGGAGTGGGATTGCTGGGTTACATGAAAGCTCAATTCCTAGTTTTTTTTTTTCCCTGTTCCTCCAGATTCTTTCCAAAAAGCCTGGACTACTCCCATCAGCAGTGAATGAGTATAGAACAGACTCTTCTTAACGTCACCAGAGACATTGGCATGGAAGGACAACGAAGACAGTTTCCCACTGTGTGACCCATTAACTGTTTAGAACTGAGCCCTTAAAGTACCCAAACTCATTCTGCAAATTTGCACCCCGTCACCTAGCCTTGAGGGTACTGCATGCCAGTAGCTGAGATTCCTGGTTAGTACAAGGACCCCAGAACAGGTCACGAGAGTCCAGCTTCCTGTTCCCCTTTCAGTGCTGAGCACACGCCAGAGAAAACCTGTCGAGGCCAATTCTGGAGCATTTGGACTGCGGAGTCAAGGTTCACGGTCCAGCTGTGCAACAGAGAGTAAGTTACTTTCCCTCTCTGAGCCTCAGCCCACTAACCCAGAGCTAGGTCTCTTAGGTCATAGGGGTGTTGAAAGGAAGGGATGGAATAAAGCAGATGAAGGGGAGTTGTGACTACAGCCTTCCATCCTCTCCCTCTCTGTCTCTGTCTACCTCTCCCTCTCTCCCTCCCGTCCTCTGCCTCTCTGCCTCTCTCTCCTTCTTCAGAACTCAGTCCTTCTCTCTCTCCCGGAAGTCAGAGTTCATGGGGTGAAGCAGAACAAAGATGACAAGCAAGGGATCTTAGGGAGCGTGTTCTGCAGTTCCTGGTAGCCGTTCCCGAGGGACATGGGAAACAGTGAATCTGGGGGCGCAGGGGTTCTGGGGAACAGCTCCTGAGAAATGGCAGAATATAGTGGATCGGGTTGCCTGCCCTGGCAAGGGGAGCAACTCAGCCCCCCTGACTTAGCTGTGCACAGGAAGTAAATGAACTGTGGGTTGCCGGGAGTGTTCTTGTTAATGGGGCGACTCTGCAGTCCTGTCAGGTACAG